GGGGAGGCCATGGCGTGCCGTGCCCGACGTGACAAGGGGCGCACTCAGTAGTCGCGTGCTTTCCCGCACTCGTCACTGCGACGAAGTGTCGAAGCTGCGGGGGCCGACGCTGGCCAGTCCGACTTCGGGTGGTTTCCCGCCCGAATCTTGAAAAACTGGCGGCCTATCTGGGCCGCCGATCACATCAGATCGACGGCCCAGATAGGCCGCCAGTTTTTCAAGATTCTGGCGGCCACACTGGACCCGTTTTTTTTTGGGGGGGGCCGGGAAGCCTCCACGACCCGCAGGGAGGCATCCCGGCCCCCCAAAAAAATCAAAATCGGCCGCTACCCGTCGGCGCGATTTTCCACCGGGGGGGAACCGGCGCGGTCCACCGGCCGGTGCCACCGGTCCGGTTCCGGTGGGGGAACGGCCCCCCGGTAGGACCGGAAATTCAGCCTTGAATGAAATGGAAAAACTGAAACTGAAACTTCATGCTATTTCTGAACAAAATCTGAAACTGGAGCACCAAAGATTGAAAAAAGAGAGGACGAAGGAACCTGCCTACTATCTTCCCACTCAACCTCATTTTAAGCCTAAAAACCGACCGCGGTTGCTCGTCTTTCCAAGTACCTCCGACACCTCCTCTTTTCTATCCGCACTTCTTAAACCCTAAACCCTATGCCCCTTATTTGTGCTTCTGAACCCAGAAGGGGTAACCATAGGGTAGAGACCCTAGGCACCAACGGAGTAGTACCCCACGGCCGCCTCCTAGCCCTTCCCCTGTTTACCTCTACCGGAAGTCTCCCCCCTTTCACTCTTTCCCCCTCTCCTCTCTTTAAACCCTATACCTTACTGTTGCCGCTAGTCTTTCTCTTTACCTTCTTCCCTCCCCCCATGAACAGCCTAGTAGGAATAGAATGGTACGGGCGAGAGAGATGGAAAGGAAGGGACAAGGAAAAGAGGACAGGCGCCCACCCTGGGGGGGTAATCTGGGACAGGAAGACTGACGTACACGTGGGGAACGCCAAAGCGGATACAAAACGGGGGGAAGTGTTTAGGGTTTAAGGGACAGAAGAATGCTCAGACTGTGCTCAGACTGTATGTAAGACAGAATGGAAGGAAGACAGCAGATGGTAGCTAGACTGCTAGTGAACACAGACAAAATCAGGTTATCATTCTGGTCGTTTGTGATTTTTTTTTATTTTTTTTTTAAAATGCCCAGGTTGTTGTAGAGGCAGGGTATCAGGCGCGGGAGTACTCTCCGGGATTTCAGTCACTCAAAGTTCAGAATGAACCACTTGGCCCTCTGGACCTTCCTAGACGGAGTCCTCTAAAAGCTTAGAGCCCTTAGTCCTATCGCAAGTCGTGTCCCTTTCACATCTACAGCGTGCCACCAGAGATCGGATTCTGTCCCTACAGATCCAATCTCAACTGGATGTGTTGCGGGCCCACTCTAAGAAGCTTTGTCCCCCAACCCTTGACTTAGCAGATCCCTAGCTGATTCCCCCTCAGACAGACATAGAGGGCCTACCTCCCTCCTATTAATGTACAGTACCAACCCCCCTAATTCACTCGTCCTACCCACTACTCAGGAGAGGCTCAGTCCTACCCGAGCTACACTTTATCAGCATCCTTTCTACTAGTCCCTCCAGCTCCTATACCCATCTCATAGCCTTACCCTTGCTTGGTCCCTGGTGGGCCCGAGGACCTTGATGACGGGGGCTATGAGAGTACCCCAATGTCTATACACTGCCTAGAGACGACCAGCCAGTCAGGTGGTCCTAATCCATGAGACAAGCATTGACTCGCACCTGCTGGTCATCAGGCAGACTCTAATTCCTTAAACTACCCCAGGTAGTATTTCTACCTACAATGTGATTCCCCACCCACCCATGCGGTCTCTGCAGGCGGCCCATGAGGCCACTTGTATGTGAGTCAACTACTCCCCTCGAGCGGTGAACTACCCGTTAAGCTACCTGAACCATTCAGCCCTACCTACGACAAGGTTCCTGTACCCCTCCCCTCACACACACCCCCGAGATGAGACAGCCTTTGTAACCCCGTGGTTTGAGACACACACGAGGGGGAACACACCTAGACATACTACTCACTGTACCACTCCCCTCCACTATGAAGGCCCCCTTCTAACCGGGAAACACCACGGTACCCAGACGTCTAGACGGAGAACCCCCTAGGGAGAGGCAGGGAGTAGCAGTCCAGGGTTTCTCTCGGCCCGCGAACTATCCTGTAGTCTCATACTTACTATGTTCCCACAAGGTTCGAGCAGGGTTCGAATGGGGGTTCTTCTTTAATGCTCATTCAATACCATGCACAATATAACTATGAGCAATCCCTTCAGTTCTTGCAGGGTCCGTCTATAGGTGCAACCAGATCTTCCACAAACGAGATAACTCTGTATATTGCCCCAAAATTTTGGAATTTCAAGATTGGGTGACTTTTTTTTTTAATGATTTAAAAAAAAAAAAAAATCCTTTCAGTTTGGCCAAAAAAAAAAATCGTTTTGCTCTCTGTTCTACTACTCATTTCGATGTCGGGACCTAGTCTGGCCACCTTCTTGTTTCTCATTCCATTGGTGGGCCGTTGGTTTCTGCAGTTGGAATTCGGAAATAAACTACGTATTTTAATTTCTTTTCTTCCAAGGCCAAAACCCAGTTTCAGTGGTCAAAAGTCGCGTCCAGAGTTTCACGAAGGTCTGAGAAAGTCCCTAGGGTCAAGGGGTATGTGGCCTTAAGTCATAAGATGTGTCCAGTACCTTTGTGCCAGACAGTTGACTCTTGGAAAATCAAAGAGTCAGACCCAGCATGGGAAAGCAGGCCCAAGGTCAAAGTCTTCCAGTAGTCAACCACTGCAGTAGATCAGATGCACATCAACGGTTGTCTGTAGTCAACCACTGCTTCCAGAAGAATCCAGTTCGAAGAGAGACACGACACATCTGGGTCATTAGTGCATCCAGGCCATTGACTTCAGGGAAACCTTGACTGTCGGGATGGTCCAGTGGGAGGCTGGTGAATGCCAGTCAATGCTATAAGAGGAAGACCTGGCCAAGGGGAGAGACATTCTACCTTGTTGTGGTTCGCCGCCAAGTTGCTGCAAGCAAGGCTGGTGATCGGAGGTGATGGCGCCAGATGCTGCTTGAGGGCACCAGCCTTGTAGGAGGACATGTGGGAACGGCCATAGCCGCCATAGCTGTAGGTGAAGAGTTGTGCAAGGAGGAGGAGGATCCAGTCTGTGAAATTGATGGGAGGTTCAAGGGGAAGCTTACCTGGACTTACCTGTTGCCAATGTGATTGCGCTGCGGACGGTCTCCAGGAAGTCAAGGAGGGACTGCGCCATCCTCCATACAAGTCCATAGCTCGATTTGGAGTGGAGAAAGAGGATGGGCGCTCTGCTGGAATCTGCACCGTGACTATGTCAGTGATCATCTGAGGGAGAGCATGCATTGATGAGGTGGCAATGGTGGGAGATGCCCAAAGAAGAAGTGGGAGTTGTAGAGCGACATACTTGTATAATTATTGATTATGTTATGTACTTCTCTGTCTTTTCTCTTCCCATCTATTTCTGCCTTGCTCTTCTTTGATGGTTCGCTACTTCTGAAATGTGCATTCAATCAATCATCTTTGGAGACTTCATGTTGAGCGCTGGGTTAAGATTTGTGTGGCATTGCTGATTGGCTTCTCAATGAGATTGGGTTCATTGCATTTTCCTTGATTGCATCAAAAAAATGCTGTTATTATTATTTCCTTGAAATATTGTATGTTACTATGTTTAGAAAATCTCCATCTGCCTAGAATTTTCTTTTTTTGGATTAGCTCCTTGATGGTTGTGAGTGAGGTTGGTCATGTGTCAGTGTGTGTGTGTGCCATTTATACTATTTGGACCACACACCATGGTCATTGGACACGGGATCAGCTACTCCTTTCATGACTGGACCATTTGCCTTATTTGCCAACTTCACTTACCTCGGTAAGGCTCGGTTATTTTGTACTGCTGCAGGTTGGTTGAATATTGACAATGAGATTCTTAAGCCAGAGTTCGACCTTGGGTCAGCACAGTGCTCCAGTGACCCAACAGAACAAGGACTTTTGAAGTTTGCTGTCCCCATACGATCATGTGCTGAGTTACGAAATTTGTGGCCTAAGATGCTTGAAATCCCGTTCAATTCCAACACCAAATTCCAGTTATCTATTCACAGGTCAGTCCCTGGCAGTGGCTGCCCTCCTGCATGAGGAATGAGAGGGATGATGGGTCTATTGCCTCTGTCCCGTAACTGCCTTCCACCCAACCCCTCTATGTCTCGCATGATTGTTGTGGTGAGGGTGACAATTCAAAGAGTATAACCCCACATCTCAAAGAGTTTAGGCCACAAGTGTCGTAACTCCATATGCCTCCACGAACTCCAAAGATAAAGAAAACTGCTGGCCCACGCGAGCATGTGCCGAGTTACTACACTTGTGGCCTAAACTCTTTGAAATCAAGTTAAATTCGAACATGAAGCCAGATCAAGGACAGATGCATGGGAAAAGTAATTGAGAAAGTGATTGAAGGTAGCAGAAACACTGCGAATAAGTTTCACATGTGTTTTTCAATAACTTGAGAAGGAGGGGAACTGTGAAAAACATTGATAAGTTACGGGAATGTGGGGGTTAATGATTCGTGTGGCGTGGGAAGGGTGTAGGTCAATGACTAGGGAAAGATCGGCACTCGTCCGCAGTGATGAAGCTTGTACTGACTGGGTACCCTTGGGGAGTCTTCTCTGCAACAACTGGGTACCATTGGGAGTCTCCCGGTTACAAGCGGTCCCTGACTCGCTGCTGATCGGGCCGGTCTGTGGACATGTGCAAATGGACAGGACTTCTGCTTTCATGTTAATTCGAGCTCACTCCGTATGTCCGCTCCCCCCCCCCACCACCACTACCCCCCTTCCTCCCCCACGGAGTGATAACCAGGAGAGACCTGAGATCATCGGATCAACGAACAGCAAACCCCGAAAAAGCCCTCCCCCAAACCCATCCCAGCATACAACAACCATGGACGAGGACCCCTTGGGCGGTGTACAGGCAGTGTCTGTATAAACTTACCATGCGTCATCCCAAGGGGGGTGTGCGAATGGCTGGGTGCTATCACTGCTATGAAAGCGCCTAACGGCGGACATGCGCGAGGAGTGCTTCTCCCCTCGTGGAGGACCTGGTGGATATGGCGCGCACGCGTGGATAGGGCGTCTTCTTCGCCTTTGGCTGAGGCGATGGCAGGCGTTGCCGCCCTGCTTCGAAATTCAAAGCTGGGCGGGCACGGTGTGACGGCGGCTGGGCGGGAAGCAGGGGGTGACGGATTCACATGGGCGTCAGCCCGTAGGGCCTAGACCGGGCGCTAGTGCAACTTAGCACAGCGCTGCGTAGTCGCCCTAACTGATGGCGCGGGCGCCTCTGAAAGCCTTTCAGAATCCTAATCCTTTTGTCGCCTTTTATTATTTTCCCATATTTTTATTTTTCTTCTTGCTGCTCTGTTTTTGTAGGCACATGAGTTTGTCTGAAAGCATTTTTGTCGGTTCCAGGTTTTGTTTGGTTTGGGAAAGATCTTTCTGCCAGAACAGGCCGAACAGGCACTTGTGCCTGTTGGGACCAGTAGGATACTGTGTTTCCCACACTTTGGCCAGTTTAGGCCAGAGATGTTTCTTCAGCATGTGGAGTGCACCAGGCACTTGTCTGTGGTGCCTGACCAAGTCCTCATCCATTCTGGACTCGCCTTCCTGCACCAGCAGGGCCACCTGGACTTCCTGTAGGGCCCCAGGCTGGCCGTCCTTAGGCCAGTCCTCTGGTCCAGGATTTGGGCATGCATTCAGGACCATCGCCTTGCCACCACGCCCAGCAGTCTACAGCTGGTTCAGGCCTCACTTCTGGACACTGAGAGTCATGAGAGCTGAGGGTGACATTCTGCTGGAGACCCGCGAGATTGAGAGCTGCTCTAGGTAGTACAGTGTTACAGGAGCTAGAAGAATACGCTGGAGGAGAGAGGGACATGTCTGCAGCAGCATGTGACTGGAGGACTTACCTGAGCGACATAGCTCAGTCTTCATTACGGCCTAGGAGCCAGTGCTCCTATGTGACCTGCATCTGCTCGAGACATCAGCTTTCACCAGTCAATATCTGTTGACATCAGAGAGAGAGAGAGAGAGAGAGAGAGAGAGAGAGAGAGAGAGAGAGAGAGAGAGAGAGAGTCTTCTTCTTCTCGGTTAGCACTCTCACCCTCCATATCATTGCCTTCCTTCCTCCTTCCAGATAGAGAGGCAGAGACCTCAGAGAGTGGCTGCTGTTTCAGGTGGCATTGGTCCCAGGACTCAGACTCGTCATTTGGAAGGTGACGATTGTGGGACTTTTGGGGAGCGATTATGATAGTTTGTATCTGCGACTATGATAGTTTGGCAGATACATTGATGGAGGATGGAAAAGGAGTGCTAGAACTTCGCACCGCTGAACCTCCGCAGGGCGAAACTGGGGGGCATCAGCGAGGTCCGTCGGATCTCGTGGGCACGGTTCACAGGGGGAAGGCGAGGAGGGAGGCTGACCATAGCTACGCGCCATCGCCGACCAGGGTGACCGGGAGAGGGGGTCTCAAGCAAGCAAGCACCCTGCCCAAAGTGGAACCGGGGGCACCAGACATAGCGAATCGCACGTGTGCAGGCCGGGAGAGGCAAGGACAGTGCACGCGTGAGAAGGTGATTTGCGTATGGACTTTGAGCGTGAAGAAATAACAACACAGTGAAAAGACACTGGGTGTAGAAAACAACGATAGAGCAACAGCAAGACGACATAGTGAGAGGACACCGGCAGTGGAAACAACAAACAAGTGACGGCACGACGACTGATCGAGAGTGTGGACATCCAAAAAAGACGTTTCAAATAAGAGTGATGAGTAGGGGGTCGGGGAAAGGAAGGATGTGCTAGGGGAGTGAGGAAGTAGTGTCAAAGAGATTGAGGTTTGAAGACACGATCCCTATATCGGGGGGGACGGTCTTACATGGGCAAACAAGGGTAAGGATGTAAAGGGCTCTAGGAGGGAATGCTTGGGGGACAGGAGAGGTGGGAAAGAACAGGACTAAGCCAGGAAGCGGAGTATAGGGAGAAACGGCTAAGTCCCGGGCAAAAAGGTATGCTGAAGTGGCAGAGAAAGGCAATGAGAGGTGGGCAGTAGGATCACGAACGGGTATAGACAGCGCTGACAGACTAGGTGGGATTCTGGAAACGGGTATAGAGGTGAAAACGAAAAGAGGGCTCTAGAGGAGAAGGTATTGGGGTCGGGGAGGACAAAGGGACGAAAGAGTGACAGTACGGTGACTGATTGTGAGCACAGACATCCAAAAAAGGTACGTTTCGAAGAAGAGTGAGGAGCAGGGGGTGGCGGAAATGAAGGTGGTGTTAAGGAAGTGAGGAAGAAGTGTCGAAGGGTTCGGTCCTCTTAGGCGATGTAAAGGGTTCTAGGAAGGAAGGTGTGGGAGACAGGAGAGGTGGTAAGAACAGGACTAAGCCAGGAAGCGGAGTATAGGGAGAAAGGCGAAGTCCAGGGCAAAAAGGCAGGCTGAAGTGGTAAAGAAGGCAACGGGAGGTGGGCAGCAGGATCGCGAACGAGAGTAAAGACAGCGCCGGCAGACTACGTGGGGTTTGGGAACCCGGTACAAGGGTAAAAAGAAAAAAGGGCCCTAGAGGAGCAAGTATTGGGGATGGGGGAGAGGGGAAAGTACAGCCCTAGTCCGTGAGGGCAAAGGAAGGTGGTGGGAGAAAGTCAGCTGTACCACGGACAGAAGAAGAACAGAAGAAGAGAGAGGAACGGTGGGAGGCTGGGCAGTGGTTGATCAACAGAGCAAGGAGAGAGCTGAGAAAAGACGGACGATCGGTCCACTGGCAGCTCCCTTCTCGCATTCCAACCAGTCCTTGGTGGTGTTGCTGGATGAGTATTAAATAGTAGTGGGGGGACCGGGACAAATAGACTAAGTAGAGTAAACAAATAAGTCAAAATAACTCCAAATTAAAGAAATTAAAGAAAATTACAGAACCAAAACAAAAATGAAGAACAAACAACAAATTAACAAGTAGGTTATGAATAGGTAATGAATGGAATAAACATAATACAAAAAACGAGAAATTCAAAGCGAACAAATTATCAAAACAGCAAAACACTTTGCTTCCGAAAAAGATTGAACAAATAGTCACTTCAGTGCATGGCAGCGATCCGTACCTCCGGACAGGCATCCGGACCGTCCGGTGTCCGGTGTCCGGTGAACATGTCAGGATCTCGGTCCGGATTCCAAACCATTTGGCTGGCCAACGGGCAAAAAAAAATTTGGCGGTCCAGGGCGTTTCGTCACACCCAGGGCTGCCAGCCAAAAATACAAGCAGATTTTCTTTGGCCCTGAAGGGGCATCCGGTAGGGCCAGAATTATTTTTTTTGTGCTTGTGGGAATTTTTCTTCCTTCTATGTTTTCTGCCCGTTTGAATGTCGTCCTTGCATCATGGCGGCCTGGTAGTGGGCTCACTCCTCTCTGCGTCTCTCTCTCTCTCTCTCTCTCTCTCTCTCTCTCTCTCTCTCTCTCTCTCTCTCTCTCTCTCTCTCTCTCTCCCTTGTCATTTTGTTATCATGGTCTTCCTCCTTTCTGCTCCTCTTCCTCCTCCTCCACATCTTCGTCCTCTTTCCCTCTCCTCCTCTTCCCTCTCCTCCTCCTCCACGCCTTCGTCCTCCTCCGTGTCTTCATCCTCCTCCGGTTCCTCCTCCCCCTCGTCGTGGTCGTCGTCCTGTACTTGCTATAACCTCCCCCACTCCCCTGCTCATGCCATGTGGCGCCCTTTTTCTGTCTTTCTTTTTTTCGGATCTTTGTTGCTGTGTTCCTCCTCTTCGCCGTCCTCCTGCTCCTCCCCGTCCACGTCTTTGCCCTCCTCCTGCTCCTCCTCCATGTCTTCGTCCTCTTTCCCATCATCTTGGCTGTTGTCATGTACTCGCTATAACCTCCCCCCTCCTCCCATACCCGTTCCGCATGGCCGTTTCGTTGTTTTCAATCCATTTTCAGTACTCCGTTAAGTTTTTCGTATGTGCACCTTTTATTTATTTATTTATTTATTTATTTATTTATTTATTTATTTATTTATTTATTTATTTTTTAATCCGGACATGTACACACATCCGGACAGGCATCCGGACAAGTTG